TTTGAGTACATTGGTGTATTCGTTGTTCTTGTCTTGATTTGCACCGGGGAGGTTTGTATTGCATATTAGCAAAACTTTCTTCACTGAAAGGGCTGTCAAGCATTGGAACAGGCTGCCCAGGGAAGTGGTTGAGTCACCATCCCTGGAGGTATTTAAAGGATGTGTAGATGTGACACTTAGGGACATGGTTCAGTGGTGGATTTGGCAGTGCTGGGTTTATGGTTGAACTAGATGGTTTTAAAGGTCTTTTCCAACCTAAATGGTTCTATGATTTGAAAGATTTGGTGAATCTTATATAAAACATTGTAGCTCTTTATAGGTGACCTGGATTGCCTTGTTGGGGTAAGGCTGTGCTAACTAGCTCTTTGTTACCCTGGTTGTTGCATTAGCTGTTGGTGGACGTAGAGGAGTTCTGTTCTGTCATCCATCCACTGTTTACTTCCTTTATCAGCATTCAGAGATGTCCTAGAGTCTAAACTTTGTGTTCAAACCAAACAAACAAACAAAAAAAAAAAGCAGGTTGGTTGAAGCTGCTAGACCAAACTCACTAATGATGAGTTCCACACATCAATTGCAGCTAAATAGAAGTTTTCCCATTCTTAGCTTTCTTTCTTTAACATAATTTCATTAAAGGATTATATGAAGCTAAGAGCTTGTTTATGTATTTCTTTTCTTGGATATAGCTAAGAAGCATAAAGTATTTCGTCTTGGACTCTGTCCTGTCTTCAGTAAAACATTGTAGTTAATATGCATGGGAAAAGATGTTTTGTTTTGAAAATCAAGGCTATTGCTCAGTAAATTGTCTTATTGTCTTAAATTGTTGTAATATTATTAAAGAATGTTTCCAAAGTATCGGAACAAATACAGAAATGAGATTACTGTGCCATAGAAGAGAAAGAATACATGAGCGTTTGTTTGCTTAATCAGCCGTATCAATAAAATGGCTATGTCAGCATCCTTTTGTATTCGCTCCTTGGCTATAGCACTGAAGTCAAGTGGGACACGCAGGATTTTCTCGTCTTTAGTAGCTGACCTATAAAGCTATTAGAGTTACAGGTTTTAAAAATGGGACATGGACAGCTGTACAAATATTCTAATAATCCGTGCACCCAGGCATATATATGGAAAGTCTATTCACCAACCACAAGCAACCATCTTTAAAAGTCTGGGTTTTTTTCCTTTTATACAATTATGTAGCACTTGAGAAATATTGTTAGAGTAGAAGGATACTTCACTGGTGAATAAGTCTGAATGGGACCTGAGCAAGCTGTTCAGTGAGGAGTATGGGGAAAGGAGTACGCTGTGAAAACCTTCACTTCCACCCCTCTTTCCAGAGCCAGGGAGCAAAACTGGCTTGCAATCAGGTTCAGTGTAAACTTGGGGTAAGTCAGGAGTCTGGAAGTCTTGGAGGGCAAAGAAAAAAAAAACCACCACCCCCCCACCCAAAAAAACCCCAAAAAACCAAAAAAACCCAAACAAAAAAAAACAACCCACAACCAAAAAACACCCAAACAGTGAACACCTTTTACCATGGATCGTTCCTGAAACCTAAGAAGAGGAAAATGTAGGAAACAGAACCATCCTTATAGGAATGGTTATATTACTCTGCTATATTTATTAGGATCCTCCCAGGACATCAGATGGGAAAACATTTGTTATCCAGTGCAACCATGTAGGACCTATACGACGCTGTTTTCAGTGGTTCTGGGACATAACAAGTTTAAATGGATACTGTCTGTAGTTTGCCTCAATTTTTGGCAGTTGCTTTTAAACAGAAATTTTCTTTATAATGAAATTGTTGTACGCCATTATAAGGAGTTCTTGTGCTAGAGGTAGATGTGCACTAGACTACTAATGCACTGTAGCTGAAAAATACTGCTTATGTGTTTTAAGCTTTGCCTGTGTAAATGCTGGCTTCTGAGGGGTAGCGCTTTTTATCTGGAATAGGTTTGGAATAGATGTAGTGATCACTAATCTTTTTTTAGGGACCACAAACTGAAAACACATGAAATGATACTGGATAGGGAAATTACTAATTATTGAAGTTTGTATTTGGTTGACTAATATGAACAATGTAGGAGATAAATGCCTATTAGGACTGCTTGTATTGATGAAGCTTTTAAACTTGCCAGAATGTAACGAGGCATTTCTGCTAGAAAAATGCCACATGTGGTAAATGATTACTGTAAATTATGAATGTTAATAAAAAAAAAGGGTCTAGCCAAACTTGGCAGAAGATCATTAACTGTGAGAATGGCTTCAATATGTGCCAAGGATGTGTTCGAGATCAGGTTACCTAAGAGTTAGATTCACGAAGGGAATACCCTGACCTGCTTGAGCTGCACGGCTATAAGGCCTTTTCCAGCTGTTTAATCTTCACTTATGGAAATTAAAGCTCCAGGTTTTCTGTACTAAGTATTTTGGATTACTTTACATTAGTTCTTTGCAGCTGAAGAGTATCTGGCTGGAAACCTAAAGAGCTGAACCCTAGCACTAAGAACTACTAGAGAATAAAATGACTGATCAGAGCTTAAGTATTCTCATGCTTGCCTTGTCCACTACTGCCATCCCATAGAAAATACAACACCAGCTTAGGAGTTACCAATGTTTATTCAGATGTAATTTCCAGTTGGTACAATGTCTGTCCTTCTGAATTCTCAAAGGGTTTAAAATGTGCTCTCTGTGCAGAGTCAGGAAGTGGGAATGCATTGCCTCAGAGGCTTTGCTCTCACACACTGCAGCTCACGAGGGAGCAACAGAGTTTTGAAGCTTGCTGTGTCGCATCACGGAGATTTCCCAGCTCAGCTTTGCTGTCAACAAGAATACTAGAATTTTTATTTCTGTAAAAGGAAAAAGTCAGTCTGGATACAGCTGTAGTGAATAGAAGAACGAGCAGCTGCCCAGCCTCTCCCTCGCTATGTGATGGACAGTGAGCACTGCAGAAAGCCATGAAAAGCAAGAGCGCGGCAAGCCCTTTGGCCTCCAGATAAACCGCTTCCAAAAGTGCTTCCTATATAGTATGAAAATGCGTGAATAGATACTCTTCAGTGAAGATGCTCTTCTTCAAATAATAAGTAGTTTCCATTCTGGAGTAGATAATTGATGCCTTCTACCCAGGCAGGAGTTGTGATTAATATGCTGCATTAGCTGCTTGTGCAGATAAAATCTCAAGAGCTAAAGATCTTGTTTTCATGCAGATAAGGCTAATAAGAAAATCAAAGGAAGATAAACCATGAGAAGGTGATGTAATACACAGAGCAGGTTATACTGTCGAAACTGTAAAGTCTGAATGAAATGTTATCAGACTTTCCTGTAAAGGAAGTAGGGAGAAGGGCTTCTAAATTGGGACACACCAAGCTCCATACCCTCAAGAGCTAAAGATCTTGTTTTCATGCAGATAAGGCTAATAAGAAAATCAAAGGAAGATAAACCATGAGAAGGTGATGTAATACACAGAGCAGGTTATACTGTCGAAACTGTAAAGTCTGAATGAAATGTTATCAGACTTTCCTGTAAAGGAAGTAGGGAGAAGGGCTTCTAAATTGGGACACGCCAAGCTCCATACCCATGGTGTTGGGTTGGACTTGATGATCCTTGAGGTCTTTTCCAACCTTAATGATTCTATGATGGAAATGGAACCGACCTGTTTTGGCAAAGAGGGTGTGATGGTTCTTTTTTCATTCCCTACAGAAAGAGAGCAGTGGGGTTTTTCATTCCCTACAGAAAGAGAGCAGTGTTTTTTTTTTATTCTTCAGGAGACCATGTGTCTCACCATGGGCCAGACACCACCACTGACAGCACGTGGGGTTTTGAGTCTCAGATTAGTTGCATGCAGGTAACAAACAAGAGACTTCACTTGGTGTTGTCTTTAGTCTGAATCTAATTAACCAAAGTCCAGTTAGGTAATTTTTTCCCTCTTAGATGTATGGAATAGGGGTGAATAGTTTTCTATATTCATGCTATTAAATTTGGTAAAATCCAAAAAGTTTCCCAGGGTCGTCTAGTTTGCACTCTTGTATTCAGCAATCTATGTTCATTATTCATCTGATCTAAACATCTTTTTCTAGAGTTATATCCTAGACATGTATTTGTCAGTGTAGCAAATCCACGTCTTTTCTGCTAGTAACCTTCTTTTCACTGACAAATTCACACTTTCATTTTAAGATGCATAATAAGGGATTTGGGTCATACAGAACACTAAGATGGGTGGTGATAGTACTAAGTAGAATGAATATATGTAATCTAGAAATTTATTTTCCTATAAATGAAACTAACGTTCTTGTCCACAATAGATTTAATTTTGAAAAGCATATTAATGAGAAATGTAATGAAATAGAAGTTATTTTCTTTCATTAAAACATCAGTATATCATGCTGTTTTCTGTTTGTGCATGAGATGTAGATGAGACAGTTCTGATATTGTTCCAGTGGGAGTCAGTTGTCAAGTAGGATTTTTTTTAAAAAGTTTGTTAATCACTCTTCTACTCGTGATTAAAATTAGCATCTTATTTCTCCATTTTAACTAGCTTGCACTATTTGTCTAAACATATGAGTCATTAGTCTTTTCCTTCTTAGTATTTATTTGGTTATCAGTTATCAGTTTGGAATTGTCCTGAAATATGTGATAGAAATTTTATTTCAAAGTATCTTTATAGAGGATTTATGGTGTGGTTTTGATGGTCAGTTGAATGCCCTTTAAGCTATGTTATCAGCCAATATTATGTAAGTTTCTGCCATAACTGTGAATACCTTAAGTGCTGGACTGCCAGTGTACAACTTGAAACAGAATTTGGAGACTCTAATTTTGATTGAAAAAAACTGTATGTCCAGATTTTACCCTTTTTGTGTATTAAGTGTTACTTTTAAATTATTGTATGTAATTATACTCTGAGGCATTTTATCTAACTGTGGTTATACAGGTTATTGAGAAATTGTGCAGAAACAAAAACCAGAGTGATGATGTGCAGTAAATTAGCATGAATTATCCTCCTTCTTTCTTAGATATTTGGGCAATTGGCTGCATATTTGCTGAACTATTGACTTCAGAACCTATATTTCACTGTCGTCAGGAGGACATCAAAACAAGTAATCCTTTTCATCACGACCAGCTAGATCGCATTTTCAGTGTAATGGGATTCCCTGCAGGTAATTTATTTTCATTAAAGCGTCAGACATAATGCTACTGAGTTGATTTTTTTTTTTTCCTAAAGGAAATGTCTAGTTGTTTGTATAGGTATGAAGAAGCTGTCACTTTGATGGATTTGGAAATTCTGATAATTATGGAACAATAGCATTGGCCAACAAACAAAGTCAAACAACTACTGTAGTTAGTTACTTCTCATGTATTATATAACCTACACTTTCAGAATTGTAAATGCTTCTCCTTTCTTTCCCCTCACCAAAGATAAAGATTGGGAAGACATACGGAAGATGCCAGAATATCCAACTCTTCAGAAAGATTTTAGGAGAACAACGTAAGTGACGATAATGCAACAACAGTTACAGATTGGCAGAAATTGGCTTCTATTGTCCTCTGACTTTTTTGGTGAGGGGATTTTGGAGTGTTTGGGTTCTGATGCTGTGACAGCGGTCCTGTTTAGATTTAGCTGTTTTGCTTGAACAGTGTTCTCTCCCTCAGGTGCTTGTTAAAAGCATCAACTGAGCAGCCTCATTTCTCTAGAAGGGGTCATTATAAGTGGCATTTAATCTATGGTAGGCACAGACAGATGAGCTTGCTTAAACCACGATTATTAGCTCTTCAAGATAACTTCATTCATTTTGTGTGAGAAAGAACAGCAAACCACCGCCCTTCCTTTTGGCCAGCAGATATGTGGAGACAGTAAATTGGTGGACAGATATTTCTATGGAAGGTAATGAGTTCGACAGGTTACCATGCAAAGCCTATCTGGGATCTGAGAATTTCCCACTTCTGGTGTTTCCTGGTGCTTTGGCTAAATTAGTCAAGTGGTGGTGATAGATCAGAGGTTCTAAGGAGCAACACGGACTCTGTTGCAAAGCAGAGGATGTGGATTCAGGAGTTTTGGATTCTGTTTCCAGCTGTGCCGTGGATTTATTATGCTTGCTTGAGACAAGATATGAAGCTTATCTGTGCATGAAACATCTGTATTTTGAAAACGCCTGTAGATAACCTGGATTTGTAGTTTAAAGGCAAGGTACAGGTCATACATATTTTGGGCATTTTTGAGCTTGGGAACTATAAGGACTGTATGGTTTGCTGCAGGTTAGGGCTGGGAGAAAGAATGGTAAACTAACTACTCTGCCAAATTGCAACTGGAAACAATAGCTTAGCTGTTGTGCTGTTACGAGCTGCTGTACACTTTCTGTGGCAGGGCTGCTTTCGAAAACCAGAGTATAAACTTCAAGATGAGTTTCTCTGTCATATACCTGTGTCAGCAGCTTATCCATCATACACTATAAAAATTGTGTGTTCCACTTAAGTAATCTGTACACAGCTGATACTACTGCTATTAGTGAAAAGTATGCTTAAAGTGTCAACTGCTAGATAAATATCTGACAAGTTTTCTGGTAGCAGTTCTTTTCACAGTTTACTTTTTAAGCGCTCGTAAGTGCTTTTGTGATCACTTGGTACAGTTCTATATTCTTAATGCTGTATTATTTCAGAAATGTCTTTGTTTAACTGTATTTTTCAGATATGCCAATAGTAGCCTCATAAAATACATGGAGAAACACAAAGTCAAGCCTGACAGCAAAGTTTTTCTTTTGGTAGGTACAACTTGAAAATCATCCCTTGTGATGATAGGAATGAAATACATTTCTAGTGGTAATACCTGTGTCTTTTCTTCTATCTCATTCTAATGAACACCGGTGTTAAAGAAAGCTATTTATCACTAACTGGCCATTTTTGAGATGTGTTTTCTTCATATACATTGATGCTGAAGGTGTGCTTGAGCTGCTGCTATTGAAGATCTGAAGATCAGTCTTACATAGTTAAGATCTGCAAGGCACTCATATACCCAACCTTACCCTTAAGTCTTCTGTGCAGATTGTATAGTGAGTATTATATATCCCTTGATTCTGCTATTTCAGAGAGCTAAAGAGCTCCCAAGAGCTAAACAGTTCTGTGAAGAAAGGAGAGGAGAAATTGAATTATTTCCTGTAGTAATTGTCTTTTTTTTTCTTCACGCTGATGATAATCCACCTCTGTTCTGTGGGTGATTAAAAAAGAAGTCCCTAAATGCATATTTGCTGGTTACCTCATTGAGTCATGTGTTGTAGGTGTCTACAATTCAGCATCTCTAATTCAGCATTGTTTCTGGATGCTTCTGTGATGACTTAGGGCTGTCAATTTATGAATCAAGTTCAAAGTGACTTTGCTAGTGCTGTGAACAAGGAGTCTCTGTAATGAGGCTGTTAATGCAGCCTGAGTTCTAGTGGTCTGTTTTCATCGCTAGTTACACATTCAGCATAGCAGTCTTTCCTCTGTGTCCTGGCAAAGACTTGCTCTTTGATTTGTTAGTAGCTGCTAGATAATGACACAAATAGCTGTTGAAACAGAATAGGTTGGTCCCAAGTGGGTCGAAGGGAAGCATTCATGTAAGAAGTGTGAGATTTCAAGAAAAAAATATTTAAATTTCTTAAACTCAACTTACTGGGCCTACATGGGAATGATCTGGAGGAAGAGTCTAACTGAAAAGACAACAATTGTAAGAGACATTGTTAGGACCTGAATTTCCTGCTGTTTTCCTATTAAAGGTGGAAGTCATCAGAGAGCCTGGTAGAAAGGCAAAGAAGCAAATGGGTTGCTGTCAGCTTGTATAGCTAATTCATCAAGGCTGTGAACACTAAGTTGAGAGTCATCTTGGGTGGATAGGCTACTTTTCTAGGGGGAAATATTAACCAGATCTCTAAAGAACACAAAACTACCCATAGAGTGGCAAAATATATATACATATTTTGCCACCCTATGGCATGTTATGTTTATTCCTCTATATAGTTGTGAGAATGAAAACTGAGATTTAAAAAAATCTAAGGGCTCTTTCTGAACATCATGAGGAAGACAGTTCGCTTTGCAACGTAGGTTCTCTTAGTCAATTTTTTCTCACTGTTCATAATCAGGGATGAATAAGGGTGCCTTAGTAATCAACCTCAGAGATGGAGGTTGGTCTCAAATAGGTTGGTCTCCCAGTGCTCTGCATAAGAATGCCCAGGAACATGGACAACATTCCTGGGACAACGCCTGGGGGTGTTGGTGGAGGGCCACTGAGTATGAGGCAGCAGTGTGCCCAGGTGATCCAAAAAGGCCAATAGCATCCTGGCTTATATCAGAAATAGTGTGGCCAGCAGGACTAGGGAAATGATCGCCCCCTTTGCACTAGATATTGTTGAGGATATTGTGCCACTCTGCTGATTGACATTGAATGTTAATATCTACATGAAGGGCAGAATGTTTTCCATCCAGGAAGAGGCATCTGTTCTTACTTTCCTGGAAAAGTTACAAGCACAGTATTTATAGCTGTCATGTCAGGCCAGTAGAGCCTGACAGTGAGCGATTTTGAGAGCTGCTGAGAAGTATGAGACTGTTGATGAAGTCCAGTCTCACAGGCTTTCTATATTCTGTTAGCAGCTGCTACCCTGAAAAATTGGGTCCAGACATTTTTTATTCACTTGACTAGGAGCAACAGAAGCTACAGAAAACCAGACTTTGTCAAAGAAAGTTGGTTCACAGTAGCATCCCTGATAGGCAGGATATCTCACTTTGAGTGATGTTATGTGTGGTATCACCTGGAGTGGGCAAACTGATTATATCCTCTAGGGTGGAGAAGGATTACTAAGGGAATAAGCAGATCTTTAAAAGGTCCAAGATATCTTTGGATCTTCTGCTGTGGTACAACAGCCTTATCTTTGAATGACAAAGAATACAGGTCATGTTTGGAGACAGCTTATGATGAGGGTGCTATATGGCAGAAATCTGGAGGAGCTTTCTCTTGAGTAGTACTGCGTCAACCAGTTCTGAGAATAGAGTCCAGGGGGCAGAGGCTGATGACCTGTACTCTTCTGTCAGTGATCACATCTGGTACCAAAGAGCAGGAGTTGCCTTATACAGAACGTGAGTGATTGTCCCTGCAGCCACTGCGGAGGAACTGGGGAGAAGAAATTTGTATCACCTATAATGATGTCACAAGCCACTAAAACTAAAAAAAGTTTTACATGTAGGGAGAGGTGGTGATTTGAAATAAAGAATACCAAAACTGTTATCTCTATTCATTGTATCATGTGAGGTCACTGTTTAGAGAGCAAACAGCACATCAGGGGTTAAATTTGTTAAGATGTGTGGGAAACACAGGGTTAAGGGTTATCAGACAACACAAAACAGTAAATAAGTGTGCCATGCAAACTCTCCAGGTGTGTGTGATGCAGGACCATCTTGAGGTGTATTTCTGGACAAGCACCAGGAATCAATTCAGGAGCTCGTTTCAAGTGAACTGATAGGTAGAGAGACAACTCTTCATTGTGTTGTCAGTTTGTTGGGGTCCATGGCACATTAAGTATGGGAATAAGGAGAGGTGAGAAGGAAGTGGCAAAAGTACAGAGAATTTGATAAGACCTCATCTACAACGTAGTATTACCTACAACAGAAATACAGAAAAGTATCTTTCTTGATGAGGATGAATGCTTTTACTGAGGCTCTTTACTGTACCATAGCTATAGAATGTAGAATTGTATATCAGATTTTTTATTTATTGGAACAAAAAGCCCCAAACACCCATGCCAAAATCACCTTATTTTTGTTGGAGGCCTGGAAGATAGAGTTTGAGCTAAGATGCCCTTTCACTGTTGACTTGAATTAAGAGAGTATTGTGTGAGAGCAGGATACTGTGTGACGTAATTTGAGCACCCACATTTCCTACTGTGAGTTTATCAGAATGTGATAAATAAATAACTAGAAATGGTATGTTATCCTTGGCATTCTTGTTTTATACTAACTAATATATTGTAATCCTCTTTTATAGCCTGCTGCAGTCAACAGCATTCTAGCTAATAAATTTATTATTGCTTTCCTCCTAGCAAGGAAGAAAGGTTACTAGGAAGGGTCTGCTCCTTTTCTTTCTTATTTCAATACCAATTGGAGTGGGACTTGGAGCGCTGTGAGTGGCAGAGTGCTCCGACTCTGGAATGTCACCAGTGCGAGAAATTAATATTTATTGTTTCTGACCCTAAAGCGATACGGAGAGTCCTGGTCATGTTCAGTCTCTTCTGACACTTTTTTCCTGATGTGTCATCAATACAGAACAGTATAAAAACTATACATGTACCACAACAAAATTATTTAGAAATTATGCTTTATGAACCTGTAATAGCTGAATTTAGGGTCACTTTAGCACAGTGGTTCAGCCTTAGCAATTAACGTTGTCTGATAAACTTAACTGTATTTCCTAGCGAGAAGTGTTTCACAGCTGTAGTGCTTTGATGGATGTGCATTCTAGCTCTTGGGAACTTTACTTAACAAGCAATGCTAACTTAGGCTTGTTTGGACAAGCCACAAATAATTTAACAATCCACAATCTAAGACATATAAGTCATAGTTTGAAAAAATTATAGTTTGATAAGCTTTTTGCTATTTTTAATGTTATGCTTGCAGCTTCAGAAGCTTCTTACTATGGACCCTACAAAGAGAATTACCTCAGAGCAGGCTTTGCAGGACCCCTACTTTCAAGAGGATCCTCTGCCTACATCAGAGTATGTATTCCTCCTTCTGTGCTCTTCAGGCGTCTTCTTTCTGCTAAATGCTAGTCTCTGAAATGAGACAACAGCTGAAACACAGATATCTACCTATATCCACAAGAAGTAGTAGCTCTGGCATGCTCAGTAGACACTATTAGTGTAATACTGAACTATCTGTATCTACTGGTGCTGGAACTGAGCAGTCGTGGACAATAACCCAGTACTGGACTAGTGTTGTAATTCTGAACATACTACGAAAGCCAGCGTGACAATATTATTACAGTATTTAGGGAGTTAATATGTGCCCTGTTCTGTTCTGCCTTACACAGCCTCACAGAGCCCTGTTCTCCATTGCCTGGTTTCATTGTGCCTCTCCCTAGAAGTAGGACAGTTATCCTACTTAACAGCTCCTTCCCATGTCCTCTTGCACAGGGTGACAGTATGAGGAGAGAAGAGTGAAGAGATCAATGACTGCCTAAAATTTCATAGGTCCCTTATTCAGAAGGCTTTAGAGTACAGATTTTGTATCTCTATATTGTATTGCCATGAAAAAATAAAAATTATATATTCAATTCCTACTGTCAGACTTTTCTCCTCCAGTTTCTCTTCCCAGTTTTCAGAAGCATGGTGGTTCATAGCATTATGATCTGTAGGAGCTGAATGCAGGGAGACTTCCACCTTTGCTTTCACTGCTTCCTCAGCTAGCAGGCAACACTAAAAGGAGGGAACAGACACTGGAGTGCAAAAGGAGTCTTGTTGAGACTAGTTGGGGTTTCTTTCTTTCTTTTTCTGTTTGAATAAGCCAAACACTACATAGCAGCTAGGTTAGGAACTGTTTACACACTTTAAAAATAGTCATGTCATGTTGATTGTATTTTGAATGCTGGCACAGAAATGTAAGAAATTGATACTGGTCAAGATCTATCAGTAATTTTCTATTTAGTGTTTATCTGATACTACCCTATGTAGAGCTATAGCTATAGCTACAGGATAACATTATGATAAAGTCTCTGCCATAAACATTAAAGCATGTCCCAAATCCCATTAGCCAGCTGAATTTAAAAGCTATCTTTCTTTCTCTAAACAATACCTGAGAAGCTAATTGAAAGTAACTCTGCAGTTGTGATTGCCAAATATATTTAAGCCCACTGTAAGCCAAGGCAGTCTCTTAAGACATTAATACTCTTTGGATCAGGCCCTTCATTCAGTGAGCTAGGCATGTTTCAGCTAGGTGCTGTGGAACCTCTGACACTGCGTTTGCTCATTTTGCCATCTGGATCAACAAGTAGTTGTTCTGGCATTCAAGCATGCTCAACCATGCCATGATTTCTAAATGATGGTCTCATGCCAAAGAGATCTGACATTATGATCAGCACCTAGCTGCTGGTATCTGCTGCTGTCTTGGGTGCTCACAGTGCCACTCACTTACTGAAACAGGACTCATGAAATACAAAAAGTAAATTCTGTTATATTCACTTGGTTTTAATACAGCATTAAGTAAATGTGTTCTATATGTACACATTTGTTGAATGTTTACTGTGTTTCAGTGTATTTGCTGGCTGTCAGATTCCATATCCTAAAAGAGAATTCCTCAATGAAGATGAACCTGAAGAGAAAGGGGATAAGGTATAATACACTTTATTTTTTTTTTAAAGTATGCAAGAAGAGTGAGTTGTGGTGCTACCAAACTAATGAAATGCGAAGAGTTAAACAAAAATGTCTTTTCTAGACAAGGCTCTCTAAAAGTGCTTCCCAGACAGATTAAAAGTATCAGAGGATTTTAAGGTGTCTCAGGTGGTATCACTGCTGTGGTTTGCCCTGACCTTTGGGGAGTGAGCTGCATGGCTTGTTCATCAGCAGTAGCCTGCTTTCAACTGCCATCATTCCAAGAGGACCTTGCTACCTCCTTGTGCATCGCATGATGAAAATACATTGTGATCACATGGAAAGAATGGCATTTCCATTGTATGACTGGCATACATCCAGCCATTTGAAAGTAGATGGCTCTCAGGGTCTCAAATAAATAGTGGCAGCCTTCTTCTGGCACTACATCAGAACATTGAATCCATCTGCACAGTTTCCTGATCACATTTTAAGGGCCCTCAGACAAAGGAGTAATAAGGAGCATGAACTGTTCTGATAGCGCCAATCTGCTCTGAATACTTTCTTTCCCATAGCCCCATAGACATGAGCAAGAACTTGTTTGTGTGCATAGTAAATTTTGGTGCATTTGCAACATAATCTGACCTGCTTTGTGCGTGTAGCTCAGCTGTGCTACGTGACTGCAGTGATCATCCCGTCATGCTGTGAAGGCTGGACAGTGGTGCTGTAGTATATGAAACAGCGTGTTATTTTCACTTAAAAGTGTACAGTGAGACACCAACAGTAATATATAGCCAGCAAAATGTGAAGAAAACAGCCTTAAACTGTAATTATTTGAGGACAACATGAGAGGGACTGTTGATCTTTTCGAGAAACCATTTGACTACATGCATCTTCTGTTTTCAGATTTTCTGCATAACATGAGAAACTACCTGAGTTTAAAAGTATGCATATCACAATACATTTCAGACAGTAAATCTTGTTTTCAGAACAGATATTGCAGCTTCTTCTGTACTGGGAGCAAGTGGTAACATCCTAGATTTTTGTGTCCAGATGATAGTTTTTTTGAAAAGTGAAAACAAGATACCTTAGCAAAAATAAAATGAAAATCATGATACTGGTTTGATTGTAATTTAGCTACTAGCTTTGCTTCAACTCTTGCAGCTTCAAAAACAAGAACAAACCTTTTGAATTAAAATTACTCTGGCTTTTGTTAAGTCACTGTATTTAAAAGTAAATATCTGTCTTTTTCCTGGGAGTGTTGGGGAGGGGGGAACAATAGTGTGTTTATCTTCAAAACAGCCATTGTATAAATGGTCTTTGGGATTGTTGAGGGCAGTCACGTATTTATGTGCACTCCAGATTAAACTTTTTCGGACCAGTTAGGTAATATAAGTCACGCATTACCCATTGAATGTGTTCCCACAGTGTAGAAAATGTGAAGGTAAAAGATATTCTGAAAGTTGGATCTGTGCCATATTTTATTTCTTCATAAAGTTCTTGCAGGGAAAAGGATTTGTCCTGAATAATGTTAGTTCTGGGGTTTTCTTTAAAACCGTAAGTATCTGTACAGTCTTTTGGAAACCTAGAGGAGTTCTCTGTGTTTGGTTATTTGGAACTTGCATCTGAATTGAATAATGTTTAACATAAGCATCCGTTCTTCAAAATGGTTAATCGTTAGTCAGCAAAGCTAAAATGATTGTTTGTAAAACCAAGTGAAAAGATTCTTTTCGCATTCAAATTCTGTTAGGCAAGTTCTGCTAGGTTCATTTCTAGGTAGGACCAGAATTTCAGTTTGGTAATTCATGCCTGAGAGATGACACATGGTAATAATATGTTGATAACTTTAGACTTTTTGTAAGTTTATTCATTTAGGAACCACCATGAATTAGACTGACCCAAGAAGGATGGTTATGCTGGTGTAAGCTGGGTTTGTGCAGTGAGGTAGTGCAGCTAGACCCCAGCCAGATACTGACAGGCTAGATCTCAGTCTCTAACCAGGCAGTAGTAGTAGAAGCTGCACAGAAGAGCAATCTCAGACTAGTCAGGTGAATTTTGTGCTAATATTCAAAGCATGAAACCTGGGATGTATGACAACTGTTGTCTTTAATTGTGAGAGATCCTGCAATATTTGTTTACCTGTAACAAAACTGCAGTTTTTCAGCTATCACAGTAGCAACTTGCCTCCAAACACCCTATGTAAACACAAATTTCAGAATTCCAGCACACTACCACTGTAGTTATTAGTGCTTGTTTGCATAAGTGAAGCTCAAACCATTATGAAAACGTAAATTGCTTCATAACAATTTTGGTTTTTTACAAGCTAGCTTTGTAACTGTTAAAATTGTTAAAGTTTAATTCTCCCAGGAAGAAGAATCTGACTGAGATGGGATTTGAGGACTACAAGCATGAGGATACATTATTGGTTTTGCTAAACATGAAATGGAAATGCAAACCACCTCCAAGTCCTTGAAAATGCAAGGCTTCTTTATAATCTTAAATGAATACATAATTGGGAATTTAATCTGAACGTGTCTTGGGAGATCGTTGTGATGAATGGCATAGATACAGATCTTTTATGTCATTTATCTGAAGTAACTAAATGCTTTTTGCTGATTGGGGGCATCAAGAATTTTCTGCTAGCGGCAACAGGTTGTAATGATTTATGAGAAACTAATAACATGAGGCTTTTATAAAAGGCTGCCATACTAAGTCTTTGATAATTATATAAACAGATATTCTAGGAAAAAAAATACTATCCTGAAATGTTCCATACTGTATATTGGGCGGAGGGTAGTAAGGCATTTTAATTCAAGCCGTAACTATTGTAGTTTTCTTTCCATGATGAACAAATACCATATCTCACATTTGGAGCGAAATTGCTTTTCTTTGCAATTCTCTTAAGTGATTTAGTGCCCTTTTGGAGGAGCCATCCTCGGTGCTCAAAAGCAGACAAATGGGTGGTCTTTCCTTGTACCTGTCTAACCATGGAGGGTAGAGTTGCGCTCTGCTGGTTTTTTTAACCTTCGCTTATGTTCCCGAATATTCGTTTTAGTCTGTAGCTCTCTGAAGCCAGAAGAGTACAAGGTCTTTTGTTCTTATATTCCCCTTCTTAACTTTTTTCTCCCTTTTGCAGCACTTTTCTGTTTGTCTCTCTTCCTGCTGGGTCCCAGTGTCATCTTAATTGACTGGCTTTTTTTCCTTTGCTAGTCGTCTCCTTCACTTGCCAGATTCTTCCTTCTGCTGTTTCCTCCTCTTTTGTCTTCAACTATTTGTTTCTGGTCAATTTTTACTTTTCTGCTATTTCAATACGATTTTTTGACCATATGCCTAGCGTACCATGCTGGACTGTATTCCCAGCAGACCACTCCTACCAAGGTACTTAAAAGCACAGGAGAGCAAAACAGTAATGAAACCCATTTCTGGGTTTCTGACACAGAATTTCCTCGCATCCTGGAAGAAATTATATTGTTTCTCTGGTGTCAATTTGCTTGTCTTTCTGTCGATAATGCTGCAAACCTCCTTTGGCTTATTGTAGTGTGTCACTTGTGAAAGTTTGAAAAGTGTTTTTGATTCTGAGTGAACAGGGCTGTTGAAGCACTTAGAATAGTTTACTGTGGTTCACCACATCTGCCACCAAGCACTGGTGAGATTCTGGGGGTTTTAATTCAGTTCATTAGGCGATTATCTCTTTATAAATGGTTCGTTCCATCCTCCTGTCTGAGTGCTTGGCTAGCTGTAGGAGTCGCTAGACTGTCCTTCCAGTTTTAGTCTAGCTTGCTTTCTTAAAAAAACCAGAACAACCACAACAAAAAATAAGAGAACTGCAAATGGAATGCCCCCATAAAGTGTGCAAGAGCATGATGAGGACGCGTTTCTCCTGACGTGCAGCCTTTGCTGTGTTTTCCCATTGAGCAGGAGAGCCTGCCTCCTCCTCTGCGTGCACGGTGGCACCAGGGTTGGCGACTCCATTTAGCCCACTAACTAGTTCAGAGCAAGTAACCGTGTTGTGTCACTTCTTCTCCTAGAATCAGCAGCCACAGAATCAACATCAGCAGCAAACAGCACCTCAGCAGCAGCCACAGGCAGCGCCACAGCAGCCGCAGCCACAGCAGCAGAACAGCACCCAGACCAACGGGACGGCCGGGGGCACCGGCGCTGGAGGAGGGGGCACGGGCGCAGGGCTCCAGCACAGCCAGGACTCCAGCCTCAACCAGGTGCCTCCAAACAAGAAACCACGCATAGGGCCTTCAGGCGCTAACTCAGGCGGGCCTGTCATGCCTTCAGATTATCAGGTACCTCTTGAATTTTTGCTGCTTCTGAGACTGTAGGGCCAAAATTTAATTTTCCCCCATCCCCACTGCAAGAACGAACAGATCATGTTTTAATGAATTTCTCACGTAACCTGAGCAGGCATGCTCTGGTATGTTAGCTAAAAATGTGGGTTTAAAGGTTTACAGTAAAAAGGTTTTTTTCTGTCATTAGTAATTTTCAATAGAATACCAATACAAGTCATATCTGATGCACCCTGTAAGGTGTTGAGGAGTAATCCACTCCAGGAATGCACTTAAATAGATGCTTAACTTTATGTTTGAAAGTAATCTTACTGAAGTCAGTGGAACTATTTTGTGCATATAGAAGCTGCTTTAGATCAAGTTCAGAATACTCTGTTCTTGGCAATATTAAATCCTGTGTGAGAAGCAGAAGCAGTGTTAGAACCAAGCTCTCTTGTTTGATTCTTATTTCATTTCTCCTCATATCATCACATGGATGGAACGATTCTGTAGTTTATTCTCTTATCTTGATAAGTCTGCTTCTAATGTTATAGAGATGCATGTTAGCACAGCAATGATGTGTTGTTGGTTCATCGGTATGATTCATGCTGAAACAGGGCACAAAGACACACATTGTTTCTAATATGACTAGTTGAATAGATTTCATGTTTTCCAGTACGCATTCACAAGTAAAAGCAGTATCACTGAATTATTTTTGGATTTACATACTTGTCTTTGCTTACTAGATCTATATTTTCCACGGAAAAAGTGATTTACATTAAATATAGAAAGCGTTAAACTTACGAGGCTCTTCAGTAGTTGTAAGCTTATGCTTGCTAGGACAGTAATGAGAGAAAGGTAGATATTAAACATAGATCAGGCTACTTTAAACTTAAAATAAGCAGCTTTTAAAAAAAACCCAGCTGTGGAGTTGCCTTCACTTAGCCTTCTAGAGCTTCTCCACAGACAATTGATTTCTCCATGCCAGACATTTTTCTCCCATTTCTGTTTTACTCTTTTAATTACAAATGATCATGAAGGCATTGAGGGCAATTTAAGGCTAAAGAAAACTAGATTTCTTTTTTGAAAAGTTCCAGACATGCTTGAGGTCTGGAGAGATCACTCCAGCTGCCTGGCTACACAGTACTTATGGCTGGCCTGTTTTGGTCTGTATTTTGAGGACTGGTGTGCTGCATTTGATGATATCCATTATAGAATCCTTATACTGCTCTCTGAGTTGTTGGCAAACTTCCACCTTGCAAGTGGCTAGCAGTCTAAATCTCATTTTCTTCAGATAGTTAGATTTTTTTTTTTTTTACCCCCATGTCTCTTTCCTTCTAAACTTTGACATCACAGCCATAAAAATGATGTTCTGTATGTTTTCTTTACATCGCTTGCTAAATTTTATGGTCTGATTTTCCATTTTTACACCTGTATTTGGCTATCTGCCCTTAAATTCTAGCTGACTGTCTTCTGTTGCAGAAGCGAATGTCCTGTAATTTGTCCAAGTCTGATTTTGTCAAAAACTAATTCTCTTCTGTAGAACAAAAATAAGCATGGGCAAGTTAATGTATTCTTGTAGTCCTATGGCATTAATTTTACTCTGTTATGTCTTATTCAGAAGTAGGAAGAAGATGCCCTTTGCTTTGAGTTTCATTTAGCTTGTGACCTAAAGTCTCTGTTGAAATTTTTTTATAGTTCGCCAACTATGTTGCTTCCATAAATGACACTAAGAGTTCCTTGTTGAATTTTACTGAGCATTCCTTATGTGACTGTGGGCTTTTTGCTTAGCGTGGTAAGCTGATGCTTTTCATCCACAATGAGTTCCTATAAAGTCATAGCATTTATCCCAATTCTTTTTCTTTTCAGTTAGAAGTTGCAAAAACTTTCAGAATTTTGGGACAAATTCCAGGTTTTAGACACTCAGGCCAGTCATCTGGTTATTAACAGCATATGTGCTGCTGGGAGACATCTCTTCCAAAGCCAGTGTACTGTTATCTCCCAAACTCGCCCTTACAAACAAGTGAAGTTACTCCACGCAACTATTTTTTTATATTGATATTATATTGAGATACAGAAGTCTGCAAGATTGGGCTGTTATCTCTCTCTCTAGCCTCACTGTGCTTCACCTTGAAAGCAACACACTCATACACAAGACAGAACAAAGAAAAAGTAATGCAATATTTTTAGGATTTAGTATGTTTTCCAATTTATGTAGTAATAAGTAAATCTGTATAAAACTTTGTACAGAAACAAAGGACCTAAGTATTTTGCACTGCCTGAATTTTAGGTTCCTGCTCT